AAGTGGTCATCTTTATTATGAACTCTTCTGGGTATAAGCCAGATGCTGTATTTAAGCTTCACTTGGGTTTACCCAAGCACACTTTCCAGTATGCTAACCTTGTTACGACTTGTCTCCTCTTGTGTTTTAATGCTTTTAATATATGATATTTAGATTCAATGACTTGAGAAGGGTGATGGGCTCTCTGTGCGTGCTTCCTGGCCCAATTCAATTAAGCTCTCTATTCTTAATTTAGTACTAAATCCTCCTTTGGTTTTTAGTTTCATAAAAACTTTCCTGGGTGTTGTGTTCTTAAGTAGAAAATGTAGCCCATTTCTTCCCACCCCATGGGTTACACCTTGACCTAACTTCTTCCTGTGTAATGTTTATGCTTAGTTCTTTTCCCTTTTAATGGTTTGCTGAAGATGGCAGTATATAAACTGAATTAGCAAAGAGTGGTGAGGTTTATCGGGGTGTATCAATTATAGAACAGGCTCCTCTAAAGGGGTATAAAGCACCGCCAATTCCATTGAGTTGTCAGCTGTTGCTAGTAGTTCTCTGGTGAATCATTTTGTTGAGTGAATTATTTATGTGTAGGGCTAAGCATAGTGGGGTATCTAATCCCAGTTTGGGTTTTAGTTATTGTGTAGTCAGAAGGATTGAAGTCACTCCCGTAGCTTCTTTTTGTGGTCATTGTAGCTTCTTACGGCTTAGTTAAGTCTTAACTTTTGTATGGAAATATCTTTAACACGTTTTACACCACAGGCCTATTAATTTGGGTTAATCAAATGACTGCGGTGGCTGGCACAAAATTTACCAAACCTATTTTAACAGAGCTTAGTTGAACTTTCATTCATGGCCTATTTTATGACTGCTGTATCCTGTGGGGGTGTCCTTGAGCAAGGCGTTGCGAGCTATTGTATAGTGTTCTTGATCCCTGTTCCTTTTAATCATTTGTGATTTGGAGGGCATTTTCACTGGGAGGCAGAGCCTGGCATGTGTGATCTTATGAAGAATTCATGGCAAGGCCAGGACTGTACCTTTGTGCTTATGGATTCTAATGACTCACATAAGCATTTTCAGTGCCTTGCTTTCTGTATTAAGCTACAGTAACAGGTGTCCCTTGTGAAGATCTGTCATGGCTCGTAGTATTATGTTGGGAAATTTAAGCATTGGTCGTTGAGGCCTATCATGGTAAGATTATGCAACAGGGGGGATTTAGAGTTAAAGGCTGTCTGTCTATAGATAGATTCTCAACTAAAATAGTATGCTGGTGTTATGAGTGGTTGGGATTATGTAGTCAATCATGTAAAATTTGAGATGTTTAACCTTATACCTGTTGCATATACTTAGTTGTGTTTTTGGGATTTGGCCAGACAACAGTAAATATTTGTGTACCTTTTAAGGTTATGAGGGAGGGGGCTGGTTAAGCTACTTTTTTATCTGTTCTATACGGTTACAAGTATGTATGCATGCTACTCTAAAATTCTATCTTGTGACCACTTATTACAGCTTATGGTTACATGATGTTGCTAAGTAACGTTCAATTCAAGCCCAGCTACAAATTATTTGACTGTGTGAGACCTTATGGTCCTAGCTGAGTGATACCACCTTTTCTGCCCTAAAAATTAAAAGATACCAAATGTATGACAGCACAGTTATGTGTGATCATCAGCTGATTAATCATTAGCCCATCAATATGTCCCTGGAAGTAATTAATTACTCTAAGTAATACAGTAGATACGTCCTAGAACACACAAACTAGAGACAAGGCTAGGAGAGAGCACTGTATAAAGAGATTAAAGTTTCCTGAAATAGTTACAACATAAAATTGTCACAGCATTTACCTTGACCCTCTCTGTGTCCATACTAAGGACCGAGGTATTGTTTCCTGTGGAAGCTGCACCAGGTCCTGCATTTGATAGCAACCAGAGAAGGGATGGAGGTTTATTCTGATTTGCATAGACTGGGTGGAAAAAGACAAAAACCCTCCATGGCTTTCACCATCTTAACACTGCTTCCTACACTCAGTTCCCTTGCGAGAGACAGAGGGTTTCCCACATGCCTCAGGTGACCCCTTTGGACTATGGGGAGACCGGTTCCCGCAGTCTTAAGGAAGGCTCTAGAAGGCCTTGGTTGGATATTTGATAATCAACTGTGGAGAGGTCAGAGATCAACTAGTTGGAAATCAACAATGAAACAAAGGTTTCCTGATACACAACACAGGAAATGAAAATTTATCAGATTAAAAATTACCCATGCCTCAGGCAGTAAGCCATCAGCACAGACAGCACCGGTCCTTTCTACAAGCTGTGGGTGGGTTATTCAGGTGTTTTACTGTATATTATCTGCTCTATGTATCTGACAGGGGAAGATGTAAGTATTCATGACCAGAAATTACCTCAAAGAATTCATCGTTCCTCATTACTATAGTATTAGTCTCTACGTGGAATTTCTTGTAAAGTTTTAGCACGACACTACCTAATAAAATAACAGTAGAGGACTGAAATTACACAAGGATTCATTTCCCTATTGGGGAACTGTAGTTGACAATACAAAATTTTTTTTGAAAAGGAAAAGGATCTCCATAAAGAGGAAAGAAATGTCTGCTTTCTTAAAGCAGATTGTCTATGGAATATTTATCCGCAAAGACAAATCAAGAAAGCTTACCAGGACATACAGCCTCTCATCTCTAATTCTATTCATCTTATTTTTCTCAAATCAAAGAAAAACACAGACTTCAACATTGTGTCAAGGTGGAAGGGGCCCTGATCCATGTCTGTTCTCACACCTACTCTCAAGTTAAGTGTAACAGAGAGGTTGCTTGGGGGGGAGGGGGACAGTCAGGAGCCGGGCGTGAGCTCCACCACTCACAAGGGACAGACCCAAAGAGCCCTGCTGCCTGGGGACTTCTGAGGAAACAGAGTCCTATCACCTCTGCGAGACCACCTGTTTCCTCTAGTAACCTCTTGTGATTATTTCCAGGAGACACAGCAGTTGCCCACTGGAACAAGAAGCCAATCGAGGGGATGTTGCAGCAGAAATTAAACTGCTGCATTTCACATCATGCTCCTTACCTGTCCACGGAGGAATGTCCTTGTCACATTCTCCTGGCACTGGTTTCTGCCTCCTCGATTCCTCTGGTGGCCTCTGTCTTTGGATTTCTTCCGGTCTTGGAAGATGGAGATGAATCAATTTCACTAAGAAATACCACACCCAGGCTTCCCCTGGACAAGAAACAGCTTCTCCCTAGAAACCTCACAACGCCCTTAACCGAAGTATGTCAAACTCCTGTACTGGTGTTTCAAGTGGGCAACCTCCCTGCTCTGCTCCACCCCACCATCACCCCATCCAGATCAGGAGCCCCGAGATGTGGGAGAGAAACACACCCACGTTCAGCTGGGGCAGAGCGCGCACAAGAGGAGGAGAGAAAAACACTCTTACCCAGTTGTCCCGAGCCACCTTCTCCTGAAGAGTGATCTGAAAGAGTCAGCACATCAGTCAAAAACCCATGCACAGAGATTCAGTGGGCCTTTGATCCTCTGCATTAGGTGCTGAAGGATTGAGAAAACACTGGGCAGATCTTGTGGGCTCCCTGGTGTCGGAAAGGGGGAGCTCTTGCTGCTGCAGCTGTTCTTACATCTCTTCTTTTGTGTTCCTGTGAGTGACAAATGCTTTCATCAGGCGGAGCACAATGTGGAGTAGGGCTTTTTAGTCTGCCCAGGTTCCTGTTATGAGAACTGAACTCTCATATACATTTTGCAATCATATAAGACATATTTCACATAATTATCAAAATACGGTAGGCTCGAAGCGGTTGCTAAGTCATTTTGTATTCAGTATTTAATGCTTGTGGGGATCTGAGCTGATATGGTCTCCTCACCAGTCACGACAGCTCCCTAGTTTATTCTGCAATGAGTATCTTTCATCATAAAGTTTGATTCTCCTTTTCCTCATATCCTTCTCGTGTTTCTCCGGGCTACTACTAGTGGGTCTCTAAAATGGCACGGTCCTTTTTGTTGATGTGATTTGTCCTACACCAAACTGCTTCTTAAGGTTTATAATCATTTCTACCACCTCCAGAAGCATGTCTGGGAACCACAGTTCCACATAGTCTGGCCAGCATTGGGGATCAGGAAACCTTTGGTAACTTAACTGTTGAATATTTTCAACTGAACATCTGGAAAATGTTTTTTTCACATATCAAATCTCCAAGTGTCTTCTGAACAGTGGTGGTTATTTATGTGTGAGCTTGGTCTAAACACCATACCCAGTTTCAGAATCATCCACCAGCGTTCACCGCTGGGGTTAGGAGCTGAACTCCCTTGTGGTTCCCTATGTTTTCTGCAACTAATTTCAGTTTCTCCCCTGCCCCCTGCTCACATTCTTTCAGTCCCAGCTTCCTAAGAGGGAAAGGAAACATCTATACCTGGTAGCCCATGTGGAATTCTGCCATTCTTCCTTCCCATGAATCTGAAGGCAGGACTCGAATGTCCCCACATACCGTCCCCATGAACGCAACATCCACAAACCCAATCGCAGGGATGAATTGATGCCCCCGCCCCCCAATAAGGGCCTAAAACCACTCAAACTTCAGCCTGCTGGCAAGTCTTCAGTAGCTCCGAGCTGCTCTTCACAGCTCCCTATTGCTACTCACCAATACATCAAATAAATATAAAAAGCACATATGAGATGCACTATGTGTCCGCCTAGGCCCCGGTGATTGGGATGGCATAAGCGTATTTCATTACAATGTAGGAAACCAGGCCTGACCAAATCATCACCACTAAACGCATAAGGATGAAGCAGGGCTTCCTGACTTGTCTAGGTTCTCTTGAGAGCCCTGAATTTTCAGTTCAAGCCTGGGGCCATGACACTGTCATAGAGACACCTCTCCGGGACATGGTGTCATTAACACTGTGCTATTAACTACTGGACATTTCGTACAGTTCCCGAGGGAACTCGTGCCACCTACCTCAAAGACACTAGTTGAGAACAATGCAAACCATGCTGAACAACAAAAACAATGATCTGAATTGCTCCACTGTCAGGATATTGTCTCCTGGAAAAGGATTTTAGCTGGGAGGTGGCGAGGAAGGAAGGAAAGGGAAAGGGAAGGGAGGGGGAGGGGAAGAGAAGAGAAAAGTAAAGAAGGAAAGGAAGGAAAACTTAGTTCACAGGATTTGCGACTGCTGGCACCCCCCCAGCCACCTGCCAGCCATTAACTCCCATCTTGTCTGCAGCAAGATACCATCAGGGTGCACCTCAGTTTTTCTCCAGATATTTCCTACCCAATATCTAGAGTTTAACAATGATAGACATATGGCAGTCATGAGACTATGACATTCTGATCTCTCTCACATTACAACTGAGCATGCACACTTTGAGTGAGGTCACTAAGGATTGCATTAGCGCTCTCAAGTGTGTCCAGGTCATTCTTCAACAGAACATACAGACATCAGGAATAAATACTCATTACTTTTACCTCTGTTTTGAGAGTGTAATCCAGGACAATGAAAGGATTTTTTTTTTTTTTTTTTTTTACCTTAAGTATATGTGCTCCATAAGAGGGAAGCTTCTTTGGCCACATGGTTTCTTGAGTACATTTCTTTGCTTCATTGATCTACACAAATATATAATAGAGGATTCAGAATTCAAAACATTAATTATGGTGACAGCAAAACCGATCTCCCGTGGGTAAGTCATTATGGAAATAAAGGAAGCAGCACTTTACATATGTGATGCTTGATTTAAATTCGGCCTGGTATAGAATGGAATGAAATGGGCACTAGGATGAAAGAGGAGATGGCAAAATCAGTGACCTGGAAGTGGACATCATTCCACGTGAAACCATAAAAATGAAAAAGAATGGGGGGGTGATTGTACCTTCTGTTCAAAAATGCATATTGTTTCTGCAAGTTCTACATTTTCCTTCATGCAATTCTTAATCTTCTCAGAAATTTGATCTAAATTAACCAAAAAGATAAAAAGGTGATCTCTAAGATGAGTACCAAAACCAATAAAATCAAATTGCCCACTGCACCAACAGAAAAGGTGTGTGATCCTGCACTCTGGGCGCATGTAACATTTGAGCATTACTGTGGTCTGTGAAGAAAGCACGTTTTAGTTAGTAGCATTAAATGTTGGAAACAAATATGAAAATAAGAACCTCATTGCAATGAGGTTAATCTTTAGGGTAAACACAGTAAAAGCTCTTAGACTAATATCCCATCATTAAGCATCACTCATCTTAGAATATATGAACAGTTCAAATTGCTGTCATCACCAGCAGAGAAATGGACAAAAATCAAGTACCCTATTTCCTTATATTCTGTTCCTCCATTCTCAAATAAATAAATCAGTGCAATTAATTTAAAAACAGAGGTTAAAAATCAAAATCCCTATTAAAAATAACCTACCTAAGTTCTTCCAGGTTTTCCCCCAATTTCACCCCCATGCCTTGAAAAATAGAGAGAGAGTAATTATTCTAAATGTCACTTGTTTGGTACTCAGAGACCTCCAATGTCTTTCTGCTGCCCAGCAGAGTCCCCTCCATGAGAACCAGAGTGGGACGCACAGATGGACATGGTCTTGGAATCAAACACACTTGGGTGCAATGTCTGCTTTACCACCTAGTGGCTAGAGGCACCAGCCAATTCCTCATCTTCCTAAATCACAAGATGTTGAAGGGCCAAAATGTAAACGTCACCACCTGCATTACTGGTAAACAACACCCAGGAAACGCACACCTTACAAGTGGATAGCACATGTAAAGCACCCAGAAGCGGGCCCAAGACTCCAGAATCATCTCACATGGATTTAATTCTACTGCTGTACCCCAAACTGCAAATTGATCTTCTTTCTGTACAGTGGGAGAGCTCTGTGGCCCAGAGGTCACCTCTTCTATGCCATCAATACTGTACTCATCATAGAAACGCCAGCATTTGAGGGCCTACTATGTGCAAGGTCACTTAATCGTCACAGTCCCTGAAGCCCATACACAATTCATTATCCCCATTTTGCATCCTGTCCACTTCCCCTCTCTCTCCACTGGCCTTAGTCTCCCTCCCCTCAAGACTCATAACACACACTTTTTAAACTTCTCTTGTGACACACACTTTGTCTGGCAATATTTGGTTCTTCTCTAAGCCTTGAGGTTCCTGACAGGCTCAGAGTCCCTTAATCTGTACATTTGCCCCAATAGGCAAGTCATGTCAACGTACGCCTGCCAGATTTCACACTCACATAGTCACTGGCTTCTTAAACATTTCTAACCAGAGGTAAACTCATCTGCTTCTCCCTAATTGTGTAGTCTGTTCCTCCACCTGGTCACCTGTCTCAATTGGTGGCAACCCAACCTGTGCTGTCACCTGGGCCTCAAACCAGGAAAAGCAACTGTGAAGAGTTAAGGGGCTAACCTGATCAGATACGTCAATGTATTTACTTCTAGCTGGATTAGAAACCACATCAAACAGTTGTATTAAGGAAAGATTACCAGGCGGGGCACCTGGGTGGCTCAGTCTTTAAGCATCTGCCTTTGGCTCAGGTCATGATCCCAGGGTCCAGGGATCCAGCCTTGCATCGGGCTGCCTGCTCAGCAGGAAGCCTGCTTCTCCCTTTCCCACTCCCCCTGCTTGTGCTTTATCTCTTGCTGTGTCTCTGTCAAATAAATAAATAAAATATTAAAAAAGAAAGAAAGAAAGAAAGAAAGAAACCCATGTTGAGCTCCTTCCTCAGCAGGGAATCTGCTTCTCCCTCTCCCTCTGCCCCTTCTCCCTCTCCCTCTGCCCCTTCTCCCTCTCCCGCTGCCCTTCTCCCTGCTCATGCTGTCTATCAAATAAATAAAATCTTTACATAAAAAAAAGATTATCAGGCAAACCACAGAATGGGAGAATATATTTGCAAATGACACTACAGATAAAGGGCTGATATCCGAGATCTATAAAGACCTTCCCAAACTCAAATCCAAACAACAAATAATCAAGTCAAAAAATGGGCAGAGGACCATGAACAGACACTTCTCCAAAGAAGACATACAAATGGCTAACAGACACATGAAAAAATGTTCATCGTCATTAGCCATCAGGGAAATTCAAATCAAAACCACATTGAGATACCACCTTACACGAGTTAGACTGCCAAACAGTGACAAGGCCATAAACAACAAATGTTGGAGAGGTTGTGGAGCAAGGGGAACCCTCTTACACTGTTCGTGGGAATGCAAGTTGGCACAACCACTCTGGAAAACAGTGTGGAGGTGCCTCAAAATATTAAAAATAGAGCTACTCTATGACCCAGCAATTTCACCACTGGGTATTTACCCCAGAGACACAGATGTTGTGAAAAGAAGGGCCATATGCACCCCAACGTTCATAGCAGCAATGTCCGCAGTAGCCAAACTGTGGAAAGAGCCGAGATGCCCTTCAACAGAAGAATGGATAAAGAAGATGTGGTCCATAAACACAGTGGAATACGACTCAGACATCAGAAAGGATGAATACCCAACTTTTCCATCAACATGGACGGGACTGGAGGAGATGATGCTAAGTGAAATAAGTCAAGCAGAGAAAGTCAATTATCATATGGTTTCACTTAGTTGTGGAACATAAGGAGTACCATGGAGGACATTAGGAGAAGGAAAGGAAAAATGAAGGGGGAAAATCAGAGGGGGGACAAACCATGAGAGACTATGGACTATGGGAAACAAATTGAGGGTTTCAGAGGGGAGAGGGGTGGGGGGATGGGTTGGCCCAGTGATGGGAATTAAGGAGGTCATGGATTGCAGGGAGCACTGGGTGTTATACGAAAACAATGAATTATGGAACACTACATGAAAAACTCATGCTGTATTGTACGGTGACTAACAACATAATAAAATTTAATTAAAAAAAAAAAGGAAAAGACTACCAGGAAAACAGAACACTGAACTCTTACCTTCAAATGCTTGAGTCTTTACCTAGAAGAGGGAGAAACAAAATTGCAGTTGATGAAGAAAAAAATATTTTTTAACAAAATTATACTTTATGACAAAACAGTCAAAATGATAATCTGATGGTATAATAATGGTGTAGTTCAGCAGAGTAAATTCTATAAATTAAGAAGACTTCAAAGCATCAACCCCCTAATAGAGGGTTACAAGCATCAGGGCCTCATGATCCCCTGCACCCATCCATGTAACACCTCTATTATACCTGTCAGAAAACCCAACCACTGAGGACGGGACTCTGTTCAGACCTCTAAGCAATAAATAACACTGTAGACGGTCGCCATCCCCTTTTTCCCAAGCCTCCCACCCTGACATCCATTCCAACTGAAACCAAAGTCCTCACTGTAATTGACCAATGTGCTGTATTTAGTATTCCAGTTGATAAGGACTGCCACAATCATTTGCTTTGACCTTAGAGAATGGACTGTAATGGCCCACGGTTTCACAGAATGCTTCCTATTTCCAACAAACCTTAATGGCTGACTTGGATGATAAAATGTGTGCTGTGGCTCTCCTTTGTTACAATATGTAGGTGATTGGCATCTCTGCTCCCCCCCTCACACCTCTGCACAGGAAGACAGCATTCCCCTGTGAAAACTGTTGGCCTTCAAAGGGACATCCAGTCTCCAAAGAAAAACTCCAGTTGCTCAAACTCAGGTTAGGTATTTAGGACACCTGATTTCAGAACAAGGACGACAGCTGGAAACAGGCAGACCCAAGGCATCCTCAATTTCCCACAACCTTAAGCACCTATGACCAGGCTTTCTTGGACTGTCTGGCTACTGTTAACAATGGATTTCAAACTTATCTCTTAAGGCTCAGCTGCTATACAGTTTACTATAAAATGACAAACCTAACACAATTATTCAGAAAAAGGGGGATGACATA